TTCAGACAAAATGTCTGTTTAACTTATTTTTTTCTATTTGTTTCCATGACGCACCGCCACACGAACAAGTAACAACAACAGCATAAGGCAATTAACAGCCAGTCAGTCACCCAATAGTGTCTGACAGTGAAGTCAAGCAAGTAAACCGGTTTCATTGCATAATTTGAATATTAGGACATTGCTCAAGTTTAAATTACACAGATAGGACATACATAACATATTCATAATTCCTGCAAAGTTCTACAGAATTTGATGTAGGCTGCAAAGGGACATAGTATGTTTAAAATGGATCTATTTCTGCTTGTATAATTAAAAAAAATCCCCTCAGCCATCTTGGCTGCAGGGAAAATGTACCAAGCGGCCATTTTGAAAAAAAAGAAAGAAAAAAGGCCTCCTCCTTCCTATTTTTTGATAAGGCAGGACGCTAAACATTTTTATTTTATTTGGCCTAATGTATGTCGCCGTCATCATGTTTTCAAGTTCTGATGAGTTGCGTTTTAAAGTTCAGTCTAGAAATCAGGGGCACTTTATCTTTCGAAGAAAATATAAATCTAAGGTCGCCTCTATCGGTTATTTGGGGACTAAATAGATATGAATGGGGCCAAATAACAAAAACGAAGTGTTTCTCGCCTCCTTTTTGGCCGCCGCTTCCTTTTTTTGTTTTACTATTCCGGAACGCCCCCCCCCCCCCCCCCAACAAAAAAGCCTGTGATATATATTTTGTTTAAATATCTTCTAAAGTGATACAAATCATTTATTTTGTCATACATTACATCACTATACTCACTTAGCACAATATCTGTGAATAAATGGGCTTGGCCAGCTATAATAAGCAATTGGCAGCCATCTTGGAAAAAAATTGGACAATATAGGATTTCCCGGCCAAATTCGCGAGTTTGTCATTCAAATTAATTTGTCTTGCGTTCAAATTCGACGGTTTTAGTGCAGTCAGCTATATATCGGGTTTATATTCCCTTTTCTAGTTTTCAAATCTATGGAATTTGCGTTAGAATCTACGTATGTTTCATTCAAATTAATAAACAATGTGCTTCTTTCGCTATTTGGTCATTCGATTTGGCTCAACACGATTTTCTGACAACGCGACGATGTACTTCTAGCATTCTAATTCATTTGTAGCATTCAAATTAGCACTTTGTGCACTTAAATTGATGGTCAATATACATTTCTCGTTTATTACACACTTTTTATAGCTCATTCTTTTTCTTTCAAGATTGTTTTTTCATGTGTATTTCATCTTATTTAATTTTCTTGCATTTATACACTTATACCTACTAGATTGATCTGATATTCATCAGCATTTAAGTTTGATTGTTAAGAAGAAAAAAAAAACGACTTGCATCTACGGACCTGATAGTCTCGGTATATTTGTAAATGTTCATGCAAGGAAGTTGTTTGTCTTATATTTCATCATAAATTTATCATAATTTCATCATAATTTCATTATGGAAGAAGGGTACAATATTGTGACTGGGGTAGGGACTAGAGTCAACAATTTGAACATGATTCATTATTTAGCCATGTCTTTAGTTATCGATCTGCTGGCGGGCAAGTAAACTATGAAACTCTTTAAGAAAAACAGAGTGGTGTGCTGGGTATAAGAGACGATGTGAATTACTTTTGTAAAATTCCGAGTCTGTATTAAAAAGGGGCCTCTGAGGTACCCCGACCTTTCCCGGGTATATGAACATGTCTGTGCAGAAATGCCATATCCCTTGATTTCGCCCCTTCTTTACTCTATGTCTGACTACACCCATCTGCATTGTCCTGAAAATAAATAAATGGAATAACAGCTTAGACCCCAATGGCAAATGATGCATTTTAACTGCATTATTTAAAAACTGTAAAAATTTGTTGCAATTCTTCCCCTAACATTCCTAACTTGAATAAAAATATTACGAATACGAATGACAGGAGTTAATAATTTGAATGATAAAAAATACGCTTCGACAAGTGAATATTAATTTGAATGCTATTTGAGCAGTTTCTAAATTGAATGACAGATCTATGAAACCCTTCGACCAAAATCCTAAATTAAATACAAATACTGGAAAATTGAATGATAATTGGCATGGCAAAGACGATCTGCGCTAACTTAAATGCAAAGTAAATTAATTCGAATGACAAACACGCGAATTTGGCCGGGAAATCCTATAGTAAAAAGTAATGCCCTGCATGCCTCCTCCGTTTTGTCTGAACGAGAAACACGTTATTTTTATTATTTGGCTTAATAACAAACATGTCAACGGCGAGCTCAACAATGAAGTATCTGTTGTCATATACTAGTAGATTTTTACTACGTAGTCGCGCGCTCGGCGACTCAACGCTTTTTCGTGGGGCGGCGCGTCATGGAAACAAATATAAAATATAAAGTTAAACAGACATAATAAAAGGAAAAGTTAGGATTCACGATCAAATACTATATCTAACGTACACCTTTATATGTTATTTGGGGACTTAATATATACAAATAATAACAAACAAGTCAATGGCGAGCTCATCAACTAAGCATCTGTTGTCATAATTATACTAGTAGCTTTTTATTATTCGCGCGCTCATTCAACACTAGTTTGATCGCTTTTGTCCGGCTTGCCAGATTCTATTGTTGTGGCGCGGGTTAAGGCTGCCTAACTTGAATTACCCAAAGTGTCGGCATGGCATAGCCTATGTGTGTGAAGGGGGGGGGGGGGGTTGTCGGATGTTCAATGTTTGATGAATGTTCTGTAAATATATTGAGTAAAGCATGACGACTAAAATGTCTCAGCATGCTGCCCGGCACGTCGGGGGCATGGGTCGCACCCCATTAATGGCATGCCTTATTTTCCCCTGCCGCACGCAAGGGGCTTGTTTCACCCAATCAACTGATGACTCCAAGCATGTCCAAAGTATAATTCAAACGCCATAACTGTTTCCAACAAAACGCAACAAAACGGACGCTTCGTGTCAAAACTCTTGGTATATAAAAGGGACTCTATGCGCCAACCCTGCAAAGCCTGTGGGCGCATTAAACAGTATTGCATGGATTTCACGAACAATACATGGGTCAAAGAAGAGGAAGAAGCAAAGAAAAGGGGGTATGGAGATCGAGGGCCTTGCCTCTCAGGCTGTTGCCTCCTCAACCCTCCCCAACCCAACTCCAATCCAAAAAAAATTAAGAGCGAAAGAAGGAAAGGGAACGAAAAAAGGAAAAGAGGAGATAAAGGAAAGGGGAAAAGAAGAAAAGAAAAGAAGCCAACAAGTTGTGGATCGGGGGAGGCAAAATTCAAACGTGGTTTATTTCTAATTCCATAACCTTACGGTGACTTACAAATGTTGCTAAATGATGGTCATTTGACGGTAATTTAACGCCTAAAACCCCTGAAATTCTTGGGGCTCCGTCCCCTAGACCTCAAGTAAAAGAGTGTCCTGCCAGTGTCACAAAATAATATGGTATAAAAAGATACTCACCTGACTGTAATAAAAACGCCTTAAACCCCTGAGCTTCCGGCGGCTCTGCCTTCTGGACCAAACCAAAGGCCCTAAAGCGGGCCCCCGAATGTTTATCTGACCGTAATTAAACGCCTAAAATCCCTGAGCTCCCGGGGGCTCCGCCCCTGAACCCCATGCCAATACGTGACCTGCCAGTGTCACAATAAGGTCCCCCCCCCCCCCAAAAAAAAGAGGAGAAAAAGGAAGAGGACGGTAAAACTGTTTATACCTTCTACCCTTTTCTATTATCGACCTTTTTACTCAATATATCTACAGAAAATTCATTTAATAAAAAGCTATATGATGCTTCATTGTCTTGCTTGCCGTTGACATGTTTGTTTTTATTATCTATTAAGTCCCCAAATAACTGATAGAGATGTACGTTAGATTTATATTTTCTAAATTCTTCGAAAAACAAAGTACCCTTGATTTCTAGACTGAACTCTATCTTTCAAACGTTTCTCATCAGAACATGACGGTGGCATATTATAATATAATATAAATATTATCTGTCTCGCCTCGACTTGACAAAGATAATATTATCTCCCTCACCTCGACTTGACAAAGATAACATTTTGGCAGGCATATTTAAAAACAGATCATTTTGGCGGGCATAGTTAAAATCACGACTTCACTTTCAACCAATCAGGTGGCAGGATTAGGAATGATTCTTAAAGTAAGGTATATAATAGGATTTATATCATTGAAGCATAACAAAAATAAATACAAATATATGATTTGGGTATTATAAACAATAGGCGAGCCAATAATTCAAAATAGCAAATCTTATGTTGTTACCAACATTATTTTTTTTGAATATGAAAATACAAGGCATCTAATCCGTTTACAGGCAGGATGCATCTAAATAAAGTGAGCCCACATATATCCACGGTACGACTGGTCTCTTTATTGAAAAAGGCATATCAGAAAAGAATGACCACATATTTGTCTCTAGTGACAAGCTGTTATTGTTGTTTTGGGGTTTATTAGGCTGTCCAATCTGAACAGATTATTTTCGCAAGGCTATACTGTTTTTTCGAGTTATTTATCAGTGATCATAAGATGGCGCTGTTTCTTTTGCCCTGACAAATTAGATTCTGCTTTATGAAGATATCGATTGGCAGGATGTGGCGGTGAGCCAGGCCGCGGGGTGGCTGTTTCAATTAGGCCCAGACGACCTCATTGAGAAGAGGCTCGGCTTCCATGCGAGAGGCTGGAGTTTGGCGGCATATCACTGTCCTCCTGCCGGCGGCAGCCAGGCTGAGCTTATGTTTTCTAGCTTTTTCCGAGGCTCGGTTTCCATTCGAAAGGCGGCAGCCGGCGCATGCTTTTGGATACCATTTCCTACCGCCAGCGGTAGCCGGCTCAGCTAATTAAAAAAATGCAGCCAAGACGCATAAGTGCAGTTAGCTGCCGCCGGCTGGTATATTTATTTTTGACGCCTCGCCTAAATCTCTAACACGTGACAACCTTTTGAATGATATCTGTAAGAGCTATCTAATATATAAATATACCTTGACGCTTCTGTCGTATCCCTTGACGCATCAGTATGATGATTGGAATACAGATCACAGCCCATAGAATGAAGACTATAACTGATCCAACTGTAGATAAATGAAAGATATTGTAAATAAATAGCTTTTTGTTGTACTCATCTCGTTTCTCCTTGCGTGGACATTCGTAAAGTCTGACTGATATGGGGGAAAAAAAACCTGTATATATTGTTATACGCCTTTTTAAACAGTGTTGAAGCATACAACATGCACCTTGAAATGAGAAACTTTTTTAGCATCAATATCTATTTATTTTCCTTTTTTGATTATGTTTATAAATGGTTTAAATAATGATATGGAAGAATACACAGGTTCTTACCAACTTTAGCTACACTTCCATCTGTCTTGTCAATCGGAATTGTGGGTCCAGCAGGCATGGGAGAAGAGCTTGTTCGTAGGTTAACTAACACAGTTGTCTTTTTCTGCACTTGCAATCCAGGAATATCAGACGCGAAACAAACATAGCTGATTTCACTGGATGCAGCGTTGGTGTATATGGTTTTCTTTTTCGTCCCGTCAAGATTCGTGACTTCAATCAGGTCTTTCGTGTAAAGACGTGTGGGTCCATGTAGAAAGTAAAGCTCGATATCTGGAAAGTAACCTGACGCAGAGCAGCTTATCTCGACTGATTGGTTCGTTGAAATAGTACAAGTGGTTTCAGTGTTGTTTGGAGAGATCATTTGACATTCGTTGATGATTGGGTAGGGTTCCTTGGGGGGAGCTATAAAAAGAAACAATGTTGACAATCATTGAATATCTTTCTTTGAAAGGGTACTACAAACAGGCAACAAACAGGTATGTTCCTAAAGAAATATCTTTTGCAGTGTCTAACTTTGCATGCAAGGAATCTAATAACATAGAAGGAGGGCTTTCTGGGTTCCAAATTTTCTCTCTATTTTTTTCTTTCCTGTTTTTAAATCATCTTAGAAATGATTGAAATATATCCGATTAGACAGCGCTTCAAGAGAGTTATACAACTTAAAATAAACGTGCGAGGAAGTTTAGCAATTACGTAAAGGAATATACGTTATGTTGTACAAGGATACACGTAGGATTGAATGAAAGGGGCGGCCGATTTTGGTCCATCGAATCTGCTTATGGTCATTTATGAAGCCTAATGATTAACAAATATTGTTATGACTTCAAAAATTATATTCTAGAAAAACACGTCTAACCCATATACTCACAAAAAACACTGATGTCTGTAAGGTTGTGTATCTGAATCCCCTTGTAGTTTTTTACTGTGCATACATATAGTCCTTGTTCTACAATGCTGACTTCTTTGATGATTAAGGAGAACTCTGCGTTCATCTCCATGATCTGACACAGCCTTTCACCTACACATACTCCTGTCACAGGGTCTCCTGTAATCCATGAGACCAGGTTTGGTGATCTTTCAGGGTCACCTCCTTTCTTCCAGGAGACAGCTAAAGGTGTCCCGCGAAACTGACATTTCAGGACAACGCTGTCCCCGATTCTTACTGTTTTATGTAAATCAGTGTACACAACATCATCAGGAACATCGCAAGCAACACCTGAAGAAAAAATATGGGATTAATTAATAACCAAACATCTATGGAGTTTGGAAAAGGGTAAATAATGGGGCCCAGCACCACCTTCTTCGGCATATATCATGAAAAAGAATGGCAATTAATTTCAAAGTAAATTTGTAGGATCTTTTGTGGCTTAATTTGGACAATACATCGGTCGGTTAGGTAATAGCAGTGAACTGATGACAAACGGGACTACTTATCCAGCAGTATTATAATTCTAAAGCATGGTAAAGTGAAAAAAGTTTTTGATAGACATGCTATTATTGTTTATAAGATTTGCCAATGGACTGTTCTTGTGCCTAGTTCTACATTTCCTTGTTTTCTGAAAGGCTTTATATATGGAGGTGGTTTTAACAAAAAAAGAGTAATCAAATAACAGTTCCAAAGGCATCATAAGGAAAAACACTTTCAACTTATACTGTTTGGTTAATTAAATGCTCAAGTTAATCCATGCCAAACTAATTTTCACTCCATTCATCATTGGGTCTCACAAATTGTACATTATCTGAAAGAAAAAAAAGGGGGCCTGTTGATTTCATTGTCGCGAAAGACAAGTGCGTTAACTAGTCTTCTACATCAGTCATTTATAATAGAATTTAAGGAATAGAAATTCAAGTCGTCTAAATTGAAATAATCAAAATTGAAACAGATTGAAAATTAACTATAACTAGTTTTTACGTAGTCTTGCAGATCAGTTGTTTATAAGAATTAAAACAATAAATAGGACCAACATGAAACACAATCAAATGAAATATTGAAGGAGAAAATCTGATGATGATTAAAGCTTTATGAAAGGGCATGAGAGCATTGACTTGGGTTCGAGCCTAAATTTGTTTTGTTTTGGCAAAGTGAAAAAAACTAAATAAAAAAAGCATTTTGTGAACCCCTAGTTTTTCTCCTTTTCTTCAATTTTCTCTTTAATCAAATTAAATTCAACGTAACACTTAATGAATACATAAACCTGTGTCTGATTAAAATAGAAGAAGTAAATTGGCAACTCATTTTTATTTCTGATTTTATTTGTGAGGACTGTTAATTATGCAAGACTATTTTACATTAAAAAATGAATTCCATACATTATAAAGAAATGGATATTATTTTGTGTAATTTTAATAAATAAACGCCTGATATGCAAGACTAGGTAAACACCTTTATTTGAAGTTTTAGGATATTTAAGTAAATTATTTGATGTTTCATGTTATTTATTTATTATAAACGCCTGATCTGCAAGACTTCTCAAAACAGGCGCGGATCCAGGGCCCAATTTTTTTTCTTTTAGCTCCCGAAAATGCACTCAGAAGGGGGGGGGGCGGGGGGGGTTTGTGAGCACTTTTTTTTTTGGCCCTCAAAAATTTGCACCCCCCCCCCCCCCTCCTTGAGCGCCAGGGGGGGGGGGGGCATCTCCCAAAAAAGGTAAAACTGACTCAAAAGTAGCTAGTTTATTGCGGCTGCGCAGAAACATGCAGGCCGAAAAGCCTGTTCAATGTACCGAACCAGACTGGACAGAAGATACACAAAAAAACGGTCAATGATTTTGTAGACAGCCTATCTGGAATCTCTGCAAAATGCGAAATATTGTACAATTTGTTTCCCCTTCTCTTTTCTGCTTCCATTTAATTTTGTAAATGCAACTTGAATTTGGCGTAAATATTCATAAATAAATGATACACACCAATAAAAACTAAAACAACAACAACATCATTTAATTTTCAATCTGTTACAACTTTGATTATTTCAATTTTAATATAATAGTTATCTGTTATTATTATATTGTTCAGGTTGTTGAGCAGAGATTGTTACAAGTAACACTAACAAGTTCAATAGATAATTGTTATACATGTACTTATTTTAATCTTACAGTTAGTACAGGTAGAGCTTAGAAGTTAGAGTCAGATTGTATATACGTAAATATAGTTTGTTATACTTTTTGTCAGATTCATTGTTATTATACTCATCATGTTTATACTCAGCTCTTTTCCCTATATATCTATGTAACATATGTTTAATGGACCTCTGCCTTGTGCAATTGAGTCTGAAATAAACAAAGTTCTGAATTGAAATTGAATTATTCCTTAAATTCTATTATAAACAAAGGAAGCGTCCAACTGATGGCAGTACATAGCTGTCCACTTTTTCAATAGCACATCACTGTATATATCGTGGCCTGGCTGGTAGAAGGGCGTTTGCTCGAATTTCAGGTCAATAATGAATCTTTAGGCAGAAGGGCATTAGCACTAAATCGCCTCAAACTTTTATAAAAGTGACTCGAAAAGTAGTTTTCGAGTTGCTCGCGCGTTAACGCCCTTCTGCCACCCGGCCGACGATATATATATATATTTTGCACCTGGATTGAGGCCTACACACATTTAGGACATGGCACACACCACACTGCAGTCCGTAATCTTCGTTGTATGAAGTAGCATTTACCGAGGAAGAAGAAACGACTGATATGAAAGACTAGTAGTACATACTAGTCGGAGTGCCTCCAACTAGGCCAATTATACAGTTCCCCAAACTCCAAAGTTGACAGCCCGGCCCTGGTTTACAATAATGGTGGAATCTCTATTCTCTTACCTGAAATGTAGCATGATACCATAACGATACCCACACATGTCGCGAAAAGCCAGAGACTGCCAATACGAGGGTCCATCTTAATTGGTCGTGTGACGTGTGGTAATATATGACCACCAACATCCATCCATCTTCGAGTTCTAGTTCTACCATAGACGTCTATGGTTCTACACGTACACGCAACAGGAAATTATATAACGTCACAGGGTAATCCCCAAATGTCAATTTTAATCCGTAGAGGGCAAGCATCTGTTGCGTCTCGTACCGATTTGCTAATCTTTCAGGAATAAAACGATATAAAAAAAAAAATCAATTTAAATCCAAATCCCCAAAATAGCAAAAAATTAGGACTTTACTATCATTCTTATTATTATCTTTATTTGTTTATCATTGACATTGAAAATGGAAATTAAGAATTAGAACCTAGCACATGAGCTTTATACGGACCCCCCCCCCCACCACCACCACCACCACACACACACACACACACACACAGAGGCGCGGATCAAGGGGGGGGGGGGACGACGGGCCCGAGCCCTCTGTCCTTAAAAAATAAACAAATAATTATTATTTTAAAAAAATTAAAAAAATGTTTTATATATATATATATATACAGTGGCGTACGCAGGATTTTTTCAAGGGGGGGGGGGGGGGGGTTTAAAATCGGGTCCAAAATTTCGCAACGACTCAGGAAAATTTGAAAATCGCGCCGGCCAAAAAGTCGCTCAGTGGGGGGGGGGGGGGGGGGTAAGCGGACACTTTTTTTTTTTTTTTGGACTCGAAATTTGAAAATTTGACATTTTGCTCGGTTGGGGGGGGGGGGGGGGATGGGGGGGGGGGGGGGGGTAAGAGGACTTTTTTCTTTTTTTTTTTGGTCTCGAAATTTGAAAATTTGACATTTTGCTCCGTTGGGGGGGGGGGGGGGGGAGGGGTAAGGTCACCTTTCTTAGGTCAGCCATGGGGTTTTTTTTTTTTTATTATTATATATTTAAAAAAAAAAAAAAAAAAAAAAAAAAAAAAAAAAAAAAATCCAAAGGGGGGGGGGGGGGGGGTTTTAGGGATTTTTTAGGGGGGTTTACACACATAAAAAATACCAAAGGGGGGGGGGGGGTTTAACCCCCCAAACACCCCACCCCCCCCCCCCCCCCCCTGCGTACGCGCCTGTATATATATATATATATATATATATATATATATATATTTCGTAGTTAGTGCTGACACTTCCCCCCCCCCCCCCCCCCCCCCCCCCCCCCCCCCCCCCCCCCCCCCCCCCCCCCCCCCCCCACCCCCCCCCCCCCCCCCCCCCCCCCCCCCCCCCACTGAGCGAAAATAACGGTCTGCGCGATTTTCAAATTTCCAGGGGCAAATCCATCAAAAAAATGCTCACTAAAAAGAGTTTTTGTAACAATTTAAATCAAAACATTAACATGATTAATATGTAATATAAGTTTATGCATGCATGTTGGCCTACTGTCAGACGCGGATCCAGGATTTCTTAGGAGAGGGGGGGGGGGGGGGGGGGGAGGTCCAAATTTCGAATCATGCAAGCAAAATATTAAAACGTAATAGTGACCAACAGTGGCGTAATAAGCAAAAACGTAGGAGGGGGGGGGGGCAGATAACCCGCATCACCACCACTCTTACATGCAGGCCCCGCTGAACGTTTTTGAAAGTGGTTAAGTTGGTAGGCCTATAGGGGGAGGCTAAAGTATTTACGATCAGGTAGAGCCCCGCCCCCCCCCTATCCCGGGGTTAGAGGGACCGCATTCGTGTTCCCCAAATTTCTAGTAAAGGGGTACTTTTCGCGCGACAAAGTCCGGCCCGAGAATTGTAAAAAAAAAAAAGGGGTGTATTTGACTTTTCATCCGGAGATTTCTTTAAAAAGGTTGTTTTTTTGTCTCTCCCTCTCTTTGGATTCCTGAATTTGTTTGAAAGAGGGTTACAAAATATCATGAGCATTGAATAGATAGGGGGATACATTGGGCAGTGTTCCAGATTTAGGGGGTCTCCAAGGCAGGAAAAGCCGCGAAAGGGGGGGGGGGGCGTTTCTATGTCCCTTCAGGTGTATGCAGGTGGTGGCCTTGGTTGCCCTTGGGGGGAGGGGGGGGGGGGGCTGATCATCCTAGAGAGTAATTGTCCACGGTTGGTAATAATTGTCATCGCGTTTCAGACCAAGGTGCGTCTGAATCTTGGTCTGAAACGCATAATGCGTCAATTCGACCCTATTGTTTCAATAATACAGTTTTGTCGCTTGAGATAATTTACGCACAACTTAGAACTCTGAAATAACATCTTTAGCGCCATCTAGTGCTAGAGAACTGTTTTGTGTGGGTGGTACTAGTTTAGCTACAAGGAGCTATCAGGGTATTCTGTACTCGCACAGTCATTACCTTGTAGTGCTAAATCATCCCATTCGTTTAATAAGGGTAAACAGCAATCTCAGACCTTTTGTTAGGGAGGAGTAAGGAATACTTAGGACATCTACAGGATTAATCATGTTTATGTCCGTCAAAGTTTTTCTGTTGTCTCTTACGAAAAAAAGAAAACTTCCAAAAGCCTGGTTGAGACTACAGAAGTGTTAATGTCAAAGTTGTTGCGTTGGCAGAGAGTTTGACATCGCCCATTTTTCTGTCAGAGAATTTCCCTTTGTTTATTGTTTACTGTCCTGTAAATGGCGGAAGAGATCAAGGTTGTTCCACAGTCAGAGAAAGAGAGTGAAGTGGAAATCGAGATGAATGATATTAAGTTAGAAGGAAACATGGACGTATACCCGCTGTACTGCAAAATCTCAGACCCTTTCTTTAGGAAGGAGTAAGGGATACCCTATGACTTCTACAGGAGTAATCATTTATATGTTCGTAAAAGTTTTTCTGACGCCTCTTACGAAAAAAAGAAAACTGGCAAAAGCCTAGATTGAGGTTAAGTGTTATTGTCAAAGTTGTTGGTAGAGTACAGTGGGTAAAGGATAGTTCCTGGGTCTCAATATTACCTTCAAATAATAAAAAAAAGCAATATAAAATAGGTTTTGAAATAATAAAAAAAAACGCAATATAAAGGTATGTTTTGAAAAGTGAATAGAGGTGGGTTAGGTTCATGGTTAAGGGGAGGATATCAAATGCCTAGTATAAGGGGAGTTGAAGACGATTTGAAGTATAAAACCATCATGAAGTGATAGTGGCGTAGACAGGTTCGTACACCTGGGGGGGGGGGGGGGGGTGACATGGTTGCCAACGCTAGTGAGGGCGCGAAGCGCCCGAGCGAGGGAGCGAAGCGACCGAGCGGTGGGAGGGTAGGGAGCTTTTGCAATTTTGAACTTGAAATCGTGCAATCTGATGCATACTTAATGAGGTAAAATAACACACACAAGCGTGCACGCACACACACACATACTCACGCACACACACACACACACACATACCACATACTCACACACACACACACACACACACACACACACAAACTACGCCTTGAATGGACAGACATACATCGACAAGATCTACACACCGTGGCATACGAATACAGAATGGACTGACACATAGTATTGCACATTGAACCACACTACGTATTTATTTATCTCTGTGAATTTTGCTGTTACACCTCTTCAGAAAAAACCAATGTCAACTGTGTACACGCAGGTATAGTCTTTGTTGTCTTGATAGGGGTATGTGGTTATGAATGAAAACAGCCTCTGTGGCCATTTGTGAATAGAACACATAAACAACAAACAAATAACGATTAAACTTTGAACAATATGTCTGTTCATTATAAAGCATAATGAATACGTACATACTATGCTTTTTTTACCTCAAAGAAACAGGCATAGTATCCATAGATGGATATTGGCTGGCGGCTCATTAACATACAGATACAAAAAACATAAACAGTATCACTATGATCCATGGAGTAACAATACTGCTTTGTAAGTTTGTGAAGAAATCGGAACCATAACGGCATTGCATCGTTTCAAATTAGGGCATTATTTACTTCTATTTGATCTCAGTCTTATAATAGTAATAATAATAATAATAATAATAATAATAATAATAATAATAATAATAATAATAATAATAATAATAATAATAATAATACAAATAAAAAATAATACTAATACAAATAATAATGCTAATGCTAATAGGTTCCTTTTATCTCGCATTTCAAGACAGGGTAAATTCACACTGCGCTTTACATGAAACAAACTTCTTTAAACATTTCAAACTTATGTCTTCATGCATCAATCAACATACTTTAAATGAATACAAAACAAAGTGCATCTTAAATAAAACAAAAATAAATAAATAGTTAACAATACAGAAAAGATGTAGCTGCTGCAAGCTTAACAACAAACTAATGTATACCAGTCAGTCCTGATATCAGTATTAGTGTAACAATAGTCATATAGTGGGAGCATGAAGTTGAACAATTCATGATTATACATAATTATATATGTTTGTTTGAATAATACTTGTTATAAAGATAGTAGTATGGTACTCTCTGTCACGAATTATTATGTATAGGCTACTGTTGTATCACATTCATTTTCTATCTGTTTTAGAATTGGCTTTTCACCGTGAATGCGGCTAACAATAAACACAATTACAATAATGATGAGGATTATTATTATCATCATCATAATTATTATTATTATTCATATTATAATTGTTATCATTATTATTATTACTATTATTATCATCATTATGACTTATTAAGTAAGCAAATATCATTCCCCAAAACCTGGGGGGGGGGTGATAATTGTACATGCCATCCCCCCCCCATCCCCCCCCCCCCCCCCCCCCCCCCCCCCCCCCCCCCCCCCCGTTGTCTACGCCCCTGTGAAGTGACTATGCTTGCAATTAGTTTTTGCTCGCATATGGCATTGCAGAAAAGGAAAGAAGAACTAGAAAGGAAGAAACAAACAAACAAACACACTAACAAACAAACAATTTAGAGAAAGATAGAAAGAAAGAAAGAATGAAACAATATTGAAGAAAGGAGAGAAAGAAAGAAATGAAGGAAAAGTTGGAAGATACCTCTTTCTTAATTGGCAAGCTCTGTATCCTGTACAAAAGTAGATCACGCATACAGCTCATCATGCGCAGTAGCTTTGTAAGGTAATATTGAGACCCAGGAAGGAACTATCCTCTAC